GAGAGAGAGAGAGAGAGAGACGGAATGTGAGAAACCAAGCCACCAGGTCTGGGACTCGAACTCTGTTGGCCATGTGGGAGTCCAGTGCCCTGACCACCAGCACCTTCTGGCCCGAGTCTTGGTTTATGCCGGAAGTCACTGTGTTGCAGCAGGTGCCTTTCCATGCTCCCAGGTGGACTAGGGGCTGTCCGCTATTGCTGGCATTTTACTGGGCACGCGCCTGAGTGCTGGAGTTGATGTCCACGTGGCCATGAGCTGCCTCCTCCATCCTGGCCCCTTGTTCTGAGCCTCCTACACCCTGCAGCGTGGGCCCCTCTCAGGCCGTGAGCTGTCCACCCTTTTCCCTGCCTTAGACCAAAGCCCAGGGCTGGGCCGAGACTCAGACGCTGACTGGAGGCGAGCGGCCCCGTGCCATTGCAGCCCCAGCTCTCAGACTGGGTGCTCTTTTCCCTCCCTCCTGGGAGTGTCCCCTGTGACACTGGGCCCTCGCCCCGGCTGCGCCCCTCGCCCTGGCATGCCGCAGCATCCCGGGGCCGCCGGCGCCCCTTTTTTTTTTTCTAAGCCGGGCCCGCTGGGCTCCCACCTTCCTGCCACAGCCTCTGAGCCCCTGGGCTGACGAACGTGTCCCCACCTGGGTCCTTTGGGGCCAGGTAGCGGCTCTGCCACGTACACCGACAAGGCCGGGCTGTGGGCTCGGGCGGTGCTGCACCCGACCCTAGCCGTGAAGTTCGGCTTCCTGTCGGGGCCTATCTTTAGACAAGGCTGTGGGTCTGGGTTGACTCTGACACCTTTGCCCCTGGCAGGCTCTGTCCATCTGAAGACACGTGGCTGCCCCGTGGGCTCTTCTTATACCTGTTTTTCCCGTGCAGTTGTCACTGTGATCCTGAAGGCGCTGACCTACGACCAGAAGCGGGGTGCGTGCAGCGTGGGTGCCAACGTGCGGGATGCTGCCTGCTACGTGTGCTGGGCCTTCGCGCGCGCCTACGAGCCACAGGAGCTGCGGCCCTTCGTGGCCCAGGTTGCCAGGTGAGCCTGTGGGTCTCCTCTGCCACCCGTCAGCGGTACACAGAGTAGCACTAGGAGCAGGGAATGTGACCACTAAAGGCCTGTCTCATGGTCCGGGGCGCCCTTCGCAGTCCCCACGCACCTGCTGCAGTCCTGTAGCCAGCCAGGACCTGGATGCTCCTGGGGGGGCCTGGCCCTCCCATGTGGCCTCCAGCTTCGTGGCAGCCCGTCACAGTGTCCTGAAGGGTCTACCGGCCAGGGGTAGGTCGGGACAGTGCTCCTTTCCATGCGGGCCCTGTGAGCACAGGCTCTGGGTGCTGAGCAGCGCCCGGGGTAGCCTTCCGCCCAGCCCCATCGGCGGGCCTGCTCTGGGGAGAGGCTGGGCCCAGCTTTGGCCCAGGTTTCCAGGCATGGGGCGTTCCCTGGGAACCGTGCTGCCCAGCGCGCTCTGGGTGACCTGCACGGCTCTTCAGGGCCGCACTGCGAGGGGCGAAGGCGAGGACGTGCTTCTCTCTGGTTTCTGATGGGAGAGCCGGAGCTGGCGGGTCACACGTGGTCAGAGCCCAGAGCCTCCCGCAGCTGCAGGGGCCCGAGTGGGGTCAGGTGCATGAGTATGGGGCTCGGGTCCATAAGATTAGGGCTGCATCCGTGAGCGGAGCGGGGTGGGGTCTGTGAGTGGAGGAAGGGCCCCTAGCCACACCAAGGCCTCCAGGACTGTAGGTGTCATCTCCAACTTCCTGGATCTGGTACTGGGTGCTTTTTTGGGAAATGCAGAACAACCGTGTTCCGAGCAGCGGGTCGGCTGCCTCCTGTGCACCGACGATGCCCTGTCCTTAGACTGCATGAGCTCCCGTGCACTGGAGATGCTGAGGTGCCCTGCCCTGCCCTGCTTGTTGGATAAGAGCCAGAGTAGGCAGCCCCTGTAGTGACGGGCACACGAGCCGCAGCGGGGCCGTCGCAGACGGAGCGTCAGCACTACCGCTGACAGCGCCTGCTGTGTTAGCTGCGTGGGGGCCGTGCCGAGTTCGATGGGCTCCCTCCTCGAGCTCCGTGTCCTCACCTGATGCCTGGGGGCTGTGGGTCCAGGGTCTGGAGCAGCCACAGAGGGGGCTCGCCTGACCTGGGCAGGCAGGGCCGGGTCCCCGGCCCCAGGTGCTCTGTGGGCACCAGTAGCTGGGCACGGCCCAAGCTGTAGGGCTGCTGGGTCTCCAGGCCCCACCTGGCACCGGCACTGAGCAGTTCTAGCCAGCAGGGCTCTCTGCTCTTGCCGGTCCTTCTTGTTACCAGATGTTGCTGACGGTCAGGAGAGGCCCTGGAGCCCCTCACTCCCCGCTGTGCAGCGTGGGCGCCCGTGAGGGCCCGTCCTTTCAGGGAGACGCCGAGAACACGTCTGCCTCTGTGGTCTCGTCCACCCAGAGGAAACTGGGGAGCCGGGGTAGTGTCGGTGCCTCCCGGAGAAGGGCTGCCTGAAGCCGGGGTGTCCGGGGTGATGGAGCAGGTGCGGCCGCACCTCCGTCCTCAGTGAATAGCACCAGGTGGAGGGGGACGCGGCGGCCAGGCCGGGCACCGGAGAGGGCCTCTGAGCTCCCAGGGCAAGCCCACAGGGCGGCTGCCTGTCTCTGCCTGTCTCTGCAGCCGCCCTGTGGGGGTGCTCTGACCATTCTGGTCTCACTAAGGACAAAGTGAGGGGCACCGCACTGAGGACGCTGCCAGTGGTGGGCACGGCCCTGGCACCAAGGCCTGGCTCCGTGTCTCAGGTGAGAGGCTGCTGCAACCCGCCGACAGGTCGAGGAAGGACGCCGTGTCCCTGTGTGCCGCGGCTGCGGCGGAGTCTGGGCCCTAAAACGGTGACGCTATGTCAGAGTGACAGGGCTCTGACAGGGTCCTCTCAGCCTCGTGCTTGTCCATGAGCCGTGGATGCCACGGGGCTGTTCCCCTCCCCAGGGCCGTCTTGTGTCCCACGGGATAGGAACAGCAGGTCTGAGGGCTGGTGGCAGATGGCTGGAGCGAGGCTATGCTCACTCAGAGGCGCGTCCAGGCCTCAGGCCCCGCTGCCCTCTGCGCTCCAGCTTGAGGGAGAGCCCGGGACTGCTCCCTGCCCGCCCCGAGGGCGCCAGTGTGACTTACATGTCAGCACGAGCTGCAGGCTTGGAGGAGACAGGGCAGTGGAGAGGCTTCCACAAACACGGCCCCTCTGTCGTAAGGGCTCCCTAAGGCCCTGGGCACACAGGCGACTTCTGCTGTCCACAGCTTTAGAAGTTCGTCACTCCAGTCCACGGTGACCTAATGGGTGGAGACGGTCTGTGGGTAGCTTGGCCTCCGATGCCCTGAGCACCAGTTCGGTGTGCGGCTGGCCCTGTGGTCCCGGCGCAGGTGGTCACTGACTGTGCCCTGCTGGCCCCGAGGCCCAGGCCGCCCACACAGCCTGGAGGGGAGCGGGGCTTCCGTGGGTGCCAAAGGGACCTGGCATCTTCTCTTCCAGAGTGGGCATTCCCACTGTGGAAGCCACCGAGCTGGCCCCTACGGGGTCCCAGAGGTCGACCAGCACTGAGACTTGGTCACGGGATCTGTTCCTGGAAGGGCTGCAGCACGTGAGCTGGTGCAGGTGGTCACGGCCGCCCTGAACTTAGCCCCTCTCCGCATGGCCTGGGCAGGTATCTCTGGAGGTCCCTTGGCAGGAAGCTTGGGCCTGGTACGTGAGCGGGTGGTAGAAGTGGGCCTTCAGCACTGGTTTCTGAGCCCGGCCTCGGGGGACAGGGCTGCCTGCAGGCTCGAAGCTCAGTGAGGCCTGTAACTAGCTGCGTGGCCAGGGAGCAGCGGGGCGGGGGCACCCACGGGGGCCGGAGACACTGGCCCACTTGGCCTTGCGATCTCGGTGGCTGTCGAGTGTCTGGACACCCAGGTACTCCCGGGTGGCTGCACGAGTGAGTGCCCCTCTGTGTGGGAGGGCCAGAGCTGCAGTGGGCAGGGCCCGTTGTTGTGCTTCACAGCTTCTAAATGCTCCTGCTTAACCCAGGGTTCCAGCCAGTAGCAGCTGCCTGTGGAGTTTCTGCTTGAAAAAGGCCCCCAGCCCTTAACCTGTGCTGTCCCCGCCCAGCGGACCCAGGCCAGTCTGACAGGTTCTGAGGGAGCCTGTGCTCTAGCCCTTCCCAGCCCATCCAGACTCCAGGCATCGGTGGGGAGGGGTGGTGAGTCAGGGTGCCCAGGGCGGGGTTTGTGGGGGGGGTGTGGCCCTGCAGACCTCCTCCCGTGCTGTGTCACAGTGACCGCATGTAATCACCAGGTCTCCAGCCCATTAATTCTGGCACATGATAAAATCTTGATGCCTTTAACTACTTTCACAGGCTCGTCAGTGGGCCCTGGGCATCTGTCAGTGGAGAGCGGAGCGTCCCTCCGCATACGACACGAGGGCTGGCACGTCGCAGTCAGCGAGGAGCTGGGGCCCTGCCGAGGCCCGCCACGTGTCTCAGTGCCCGAGTGTTGGTGCGGGGGTGAGGGGCTTGCCTTTTTTTTTTTTTTAAGAATTATTTTATTTAGCTTTATTTATATTTTTTGATTTGACCAGAGATGGAAAGGGTGAGTAAGTGAGGGAGAGAGAGAAAATGAGAAAGCCAGTGCCAGGTCCAGGACGCGGACTGTGGTCTGAGAAAGCCAGTGCCAGGTCCAGGACGCGGACTGTGGTCTGAGAAAGCCAGTGCCAGGTCCAGGACGTGAACTGTGGTCTGCCATATGGGAGTCTAGCACCCTTAACCACCGTGCCGCCTGCCGGCCCCTAGGGCTTGCTTTTTCTACTCAATTCCCACTTTTTGCTTAAAATAACTTGGATTAACTATTTTTGTCCCCTTCTGCTTTGTAATTATCAAAAAATAACTTCATAGTAGTTTTCATCATGTTTGGAAGTACCGTGGGTTGGTTCTGAAATCTCACGTTTTCTTTTAATTTTTTTCACTGTAGAGACAGAGACAGAAGGAGAGAACTCGCCCCCCTGGGGGATGACCACGCTGCAGTCCATCTCCTCTCAGGATTTTTGGCACGCACACACGTATGCCCGGCATGAGTTTTTTAAGGGTCCAGGACTTGAACCACAGTTAGAATAGGTGGGAGTCCAGTGACGTAACCATCATGCCATTTGCTGGCCCTGAGAGCTAGTGTTTCCTCCTTGTTGCACTCGGACGGTGGAAGAAATGGCATCGCGGTGGATGGCTCTGTGGCAGAGCAGGGTTCTGAAAAGCCGAGCTCCCCGAGGAGCCCGTGTGAGGTTCGATTATCTAGAAAATGCCCCGACCGCAATCACAGCTCTATGAGGAGGAGGAGCTCGGCCCTGGTGCCAGCGTGCTCCACTCTCACCCTGGTGATTTCCTCACCTGAAACTCTTTGGTAAGCCGAGCACATGTTGACACCAGCCCTGCCCAGGCCGTGGCCCTCCCATGCCAGGGGCAGCTCTGCCCCCAGCCTCGCACCGCCGACAAACCGGCCTGGCAGGGCAGCGTGGGCTGCCGCCCGGGGAGCGGCTCAGCCTAGATCTCTTCCTTCAGGGCAAGAGTGTCCTGAAAAATCAGGAAATAGCGAGTGTTGCTCAAAGCTATGTCTTGTTCTCACTCATGGCTCTCAACGGCAGGACTTCAGGGGAAGATAGCTCTTGCTTTTGCAGAGAAGGTAACGTGGAGAGAGTCCAAACCCCGGTCAGTTTTCTCCAGGTCAGCCAAGTGTGACCGGGCAGCCTGCGGAGCTTCCCCGTGTCAGCTAGGTACAGGGGCCACAGGCAGGTCTTACTTCTCTGAAGGAGGATGTCAGCGTCCCAGAGCACGGTGGCAGTCAGTGCTGGCCCGGTGCTCGCAGCAACGCCACCAGCTCTGTGGCAGACGGCGGTCTCGCGTCTGTGGCTGGGAGCAGCCCTGGTCGGTGGGCGCCGTGTACTCTGCTGAGGCTGCTGATAGCAAGCTGCTGGAGCTCGGAGCAGGCCGAGGCGTGTAGCTCCCCCTGGCTGCGGACCAGAGAGACCCCCTTCTGCCCGAGGTGGACCGTCCTCTGTGCTGGGAACTCCTGGTGAATATCACGTAAACTCCGTGAGCGAGAGCAAGCAGGGGAGACACTGCGGCACCTCTGGCTCAGACAGGCTGGTCCTCGCTGCCGTCTCAGGTTGCTCTGGATGCCCCCTCTGAGACGTGGGTGCCCGAGAGGCCCCGCGGGAGCGGGCACGAAGGGAAGCACGCCCACGTACTGTCCAGCCTGCGTCCTGTGCCTGCTTATTTGAAGTACCACGTATTTCTAGATGAGCCAGTTTTGTCGTGAGTGAAATTAGAGTAGTTAAAAAAAATTCCCAGTGTGTACATCAGTAGATGGTGTCATGGTTACATTGCTGAACCCCCACGTGGTTGCCTGTGGTCCAAGTCCCAGACCTGGTAGCTTTAAACTCACACCAGGCACGTGTGCATGTGTGCCCCAAATCCTGGGCAGATAATGGAGGGGAAGGGATTGCGGCGTGGCCATCCCCCCAGGGGTGATTTCTGGCTTTCTGTCTCTGGTGAGTGCTCATGCCCCACAGCCAAAATCTCTCTCTAAAAAAAAAATCCAGTCGTGGGCAGCAGGTGGCGTGGAGGTTAGGGCACTGGAACCCCTGGCTGACTGAGGGTGCTCTCTGTCTGGCTCCCCCGTAAGTGTGTGCTCCTCCCTGACTGACTGTCTCCCCCGTAAGTGTATGCTCCCTGTAGAAAATTTAAAAAAAGATTTAGGGCCAGCAGGTGGCATGGAGGTTAAGGCGCTAGAACCCACCTGGCCAGCTCTACGGTTCAAGTCCCGGACCCAGCAGCATGAAAATGCGAGGGTGCGTGTGTGTGCACGCTGGAAACTCTGAGAGACTGGAGAAGGGACTGCAGCAAGCCACCGCTGGTGTGGAGCAGTTCTCACTCACCCCTCTCTGGCGAGCGCACGCGCCTTATAGCACAAGTCTCTCTTTAAAAAAAAGTTTGTACTGAAGTCAGATAATTTCCTTTTTTTTTGAGAGAGAGAGAGATTTTTGCTCTAGGGCCCATACACTCACTAGAGAGACAGAGAGACAGAAGGTGAGGAATCACCCCCAGGGGGGAGGGCCACGCCACAATCCCTTCTCCATTTGCCTCGGCATTTGGGGCGAGCACGTTCATGTGCCTGGTATGGGTTTTAGGCTGCTGGGTTTGGAACTTGGATCACAGTCGACTACCTGGGAATTCAGCGACATAGCCACTACACCATCTGCTGGTCCAAGATAAATTCCTTTTACTTTGACTATTTAGTTTTTTTGTTTTTTGTTTTAATTTTTTATTGCCAGACAGCGTGCATGCTTTCCTGAGAGAGCGAGCGAGCCACTTCCCAGCAAGTGTCTGGTTACACTGTAGCCCCTCTGCCTTCCCTTCTCCTGTCAGAACTCTGAGCATGCACTCATGCTGGCGTGTCCCACAGGCTGTCTGGCGCCAGACAGACAGAGAGAGAGACAGACAGAAAGCGAGTAATCACCCCCTAGGGGGGGATAGCCACACCGCAATCCCTTCTCCTCCATTCTCCTCCCGAGATCTTGGGCACGCACACACACACACCAGGCGTGAGTTTAAGCCACCAGATCTGGGCCTCGAACCACAGTCTACTACGTGGGAGTCCAGCAACATAGCCATTATGCCGACTGCTGGTCCCTCGACGGCTGCTCTTGACCTTGGCCCTGCCTTGCCTTTGTTCTGTTTGTGAGCCAGCGGGCATGCGTGTGTGACACAGAGATGGGTGGGGTGGGGAGCACCCTTCGTGTGGGTGCGGTCACACCACAGTCCCCTCCGTTTCTCCATCCTCCTGGGATTTAGGACACACATGCATGGACTGGACATGTTTCTATAGCCACTGGGACCAGGGTTCGAACCACACAGAGGCCTATGTGGGAGCTGGTTCCCTTAACCCCTAGGCTGCGGGATCAGCCCTTACCATTACTGTGTGTGTGTGTGTGTGTGTGTTTTAAGAGAGATTTTTGCTATAGGGCACGTGCAGTCATGAGAGAGACAGAGAGACAGAGACATCACCCCCAGAGGGTAGTCATACCTTAGTCCCTTCTCCCCATACTTTTCTCTCTTTTTTTTTTTTTTGAGAGATTTTCACTGTAGGGCGCGTGTGCTCGCCAGACAGACAGACAGAGACATAGAGACAGAAAGCGAGAAATCACCCCCCAGGGGGGATGGTCACGCCGCAATCCCTTCTCCTCCATTCTCCTCTCGGGATCTTGGGCACGCACGCACACGCGCCCGGCGTGAGTTTTAAGCCACCGGGTCTGGGACACGAACTGCGGTCGACTACGTGGGAGTCCAGCGACATAGCCATTACGCTAACTGCTGGTTCCCTCCCCATACTTTTCTCAGGAGTTTGGACACATACGCACACATGCCCAACGTGAGTTTCAAGTTGCCGGGTCTGGGACTTGAACTGTGGTTGAGTACGTGGGCGTCCAGCAAGGTAAGCATTGTACCAACTGCTGGCCCCTCATTAATGTTAAGTCCAAATTCCCCCTCTTTTGACGATGGCTGTATGGTAGAGCGTTTGCTGAAGTGGTGTGGTTTTCTGCTACTTAAGCTCTTCTGAATTACTTCGCGTTTCAGCTAATAAAAAGAAGGCTCTCACAGCGTCATTTAGGGTCTTCAGAGGGCCAGTGGCTTTTTCTCTTGGAGAGGTTTTTGCTATAGGGCGTGTGCACTCACCAGAAAGCCAGAGACAGAGAGACAGAGACATCACCCCCAGAGGGTAGTCATACCTTAGTCCCTTCTCCCCATACTTTTCTCTCTTTTTTTTTTTTTTTTTTTTTTGAGAGATTTTCACTGTAGGGCGCGTGTGCTCGCCAGACAGACAGACAGAGACATAGAGACAGAAAGCGAGAAATCACCCCCAGGGGGAATGGCCACGCTGCACTCCCTTCTCCTCCATTCTCCTCTCGGGATCTTGGGCACGCACGCACACGCGCCCGGCGTGAGTTTAAGCCACCGGCTCCGGGACTCGAACCGGAGTCGACTACATGGGAGTCCAGTGACATGGCCATTAGGCTAACTGCTGGTCCCAAGAGGGCTAATGGCTTTTAAAGAAGCTTTTAATTTTGAACTTCAAGAAGAATTACGAAAGCAGTGGTGTCCTAGGCCTCGTCACGTCTGCCAGCAGGAGCTGGGGGAGCCCGTTCCTTCTGGGGACCCCCTCTGTCCTGCCCACCCCCGTGGAGTGGCATGTGGATCAGCGGTTCCTGGAGCGGCAGGTACTGCCCTCTCCCTCCCTCGGCCTGACTGTCACAGTAACGCGAGGTCTCGGAATAGGAGAGGGGCCCTCGTCCCCGGGATTCCACGGCCTCCGCAGCGTGTTTTTGCCTTGGTTGTCAGGAGCGAAGCCAAGGATGGCAGCCATTGCTGTGGGCCACATGTCGCCCGGGAGGCGTAGTGGCTGGTGGCACCGAGCACCCGGAGTTGAGAGCTGCCAGGCATAGGTCATCCCCAGTCTGGGGCCCCTGGCCAGGGAGGGGAGTCGCTGAGCAGGACTAGAGCAACACTGCTTCCAGGTCGGGAGGGCTCACTGGGGCCGTCTTGTCTCACGCCCCCCATGCTTGCCCTCATGTCAGGCCCCCATGCTCGCCCTCACGTCGGGCCCCACATGCCTGCCCTGCACCCGCTGCAGAGTGCTCTGCGGAGTGGTGTGGTGGTGGCGCTGCACCAGGTGGCTTCTGCAGGTGGCCTTTGACGAGTCGTGCTTGGGGGCACTGACTGTACACACTTCACTTCCTGTTTAACTTAATGCCGGAGTGTGCACATGCGTGTGCACGAGCGCGCGACATGGCCCGGCGTGCTGCCGTCCCTCCTCTGGCCCTCTGTCCTGTCAGGGCCAGGCTTGCACTGGGACCTTGGGGATTCACACCGGGCTGCCGGTCGCTGTGTGCGTGAGCTGCCGTGGTGCAGGCTCTTGGGGCAGCCCAGCCTGTCTGCTGCGGCGAGTAGGGGTGGGAGCTGGCCCTGGAGAGATCCCACAGCTGCCACCCTGGCGGTGCTTGCTGTCCTGGAGGTCACGGGCCTCTCTCTGTGTGTCAGACGTGTCACGGGCTGCCTGTGCCGGGTGACTGTCGTGTCAGCCGAGATGGCATGACTGCTGCTTGCCCAGGCTGTGGAGCGCCTACACACTCCCACGTGGGCCCGTCCCACATGTGGTCACTGCTGATGGCATCTTGCCGTGTCGCGTGGCCGTGTTCTTCATAACGCTTATCTCGTACATTCGTGTATTCCACGAGTGGGAGGGACGGGCACAGCCCTGCACCTTGGAGCACCTGCCGCATCAGCCCGCCCCAGGGTGTGGGCTCATGGGACCCAGCATGCTCAGGGTGGGCTCTGCACCCACACACAGACTCCACGGGGTCTGCGATGGCCACCTCTGCCTGCCTCCGCTCAGTGGCCATCGCAGCCCCACGGGCGCAGGCGGGACGGCCGTGGGCTCAGGAGCGCTCGGCTCGGGTCTGGACAACGTGGATGAAGCCCGGGCGTGTTGTGCGTGTGGGGTGGGCATCCATCCTCCCAAGCTTAGCTGTGGCGGCTGAGCCCTCGCCTCTGCCCTGCGTGTCTGTGAGTCCCCGGTAGCTGCCTTCGTGGTTAGAGGGTCACTCCCATGGCGGAGTTGGTTGCGGGAGCCTCTGTCCCATGTGAAACCGCACCCTTGGCCCTGCCTGGGACCTGGGCAGCCGTGCTGTTGGCGCCCATGGCGGGCCGGGCCACGCCGCACCCGAGGCCTATGCGAAGTGGCTTTCGGTACCGGGTGTGTGCTGACACTGACGTCAGGGCTGGTCGTCCCCCGGGATCTGGAGGCTCACGCATGTGAGCGGTGCCTGGAGCCGGTGCCTTGTGCCGTCTCCCGCAGTTCCCTTTAACCGACATTGCCCTCTTCTCACAGCGCCCTGGTCGTCGCTGCCGTGTTCGACCGTGACGTCAACTGCAGGAGAGCGGCCTCGGTGAGTCCCGCCCTGTGGGGGCCGGGCTGGGGCTGAGCAGGAGTCTGGCGTCCCTGTCTGAGCACAGAAGAGGGTGTGGGACCTACGGGGAGGGCCAGCCAGACGAGAAGGTGGCCGAGCTCATGTGGCGTGTTCATGGGTGGGGTCAGGGTGGACACGGGAAGCCAGGAATCAGGTCGCAGCTGACCCTGTGAGTTTGTGCCTGGTGAGGTGGGAGGCGAGGTAGGGAAATCCGGCCCTTCAGCGGCGAGAGAACGGTCTGACAGTGGAGCATGGAGGAGTGGTACTCACGCTTCTCTGGGGCCGGTCCCTGAAGCCGCCTACCCCCAACCCCTGCTCTCGCTCGTGGCTGAGGCCGCGTGCGGCTCCATGACCCCCGAACCTGCTGCCGTGGCTGAGAGCCGGCCTCGGGCTCTGGGGGGGCCTGGGCGGGGCGCGGGGCCGGGGGCGGCCGCGCCGG